TCCGAAGTTCCCAGCAACGGAGTTCAGCAGCAACAAACTGTGAAAATTGCGTCAGCTGCAGGTTGGGCAAAAAATACCATGGACAAAAAATATTTTGTTCCGACTTTCACAAAAATGCGGAAAATTTTGCTTGGGGTATTTCTTTTATTGAGTCAACTTTTGGCCATCGAAGTAATAGTTGTTACCACTTTCTTTATTTATACCTTATTGAATATTTTGACTAAATTCAGTTGTAAAAGATATTTTAACTTAGCTTTGTAAAATTCTAGGGGTTTGAATTTTGCCGATTTGGCCATACTCTGCACTAGTTTATGCGCGTTGAGAAGAATTTTTTTATGATGCTGAAAGCGTAACGTTTTTAAGAGAAGTCAACCTGGAGGCTAAAAAATTGGAGCTCAAACAGCAATGCTGTTCTACTACTACGCTTACTTGCACTTCAGAATAATGTTGAGACTTTTTCCTGAAAAAAAAAACAATAAAAAACACCAAGATCTATATAAGAGTACTCACTGCATTCATTGCTCTTAACAAAAACTTTTTATTATTAGCGGAATAAATGATGTTTATGCAAGGAAGGGAGAGAGGGGTTAGTGGCAGACGAGTCACTCATTATAGTGGCAAGGAGATAACTTTAAGATCGTCAGATGGTGAGATCGATCCACTGTCATGGCTTCCGGTCTACCACAGCCTGACCAAGTTTGACTGTAATAAGGATGTTACGTGAATACGCCGGCATTGAGTCGCAAAAAAAGCCCTTGAGTCATCATAATACCTCAGTCTAGAATGTGGGGAATTAATAGAAACGTCATATGCTTAGACGGGCTGGACAGCCTATCACAGATCCTCGGCGTATCGCAAAACCCATAATTATTTTAAAAAACCAGAGTCCTTATTGGCAATCTTACACATTGTTGACGTCCTCCCGGTAAGGTACCCCTCTCTGCAAGGCGATGCCGTATCCCTTGAGGAGGAATGGCTTCCCAACTGTCATGTAATCATCACACTCAGTGGCCGCCATGTACTGCAGCACTGGCTCATCCCACATGAACGCAAATTTCTCCTTCTTCACCCGTCTAAAAGTACGAAAGTGTATGCAAATAAACTGGTTGGCAGCATCGGGAGCTTCCTATTTATAAATCTATCTCATTTTTTCATATTGAGTTCCTTTGATAGACAACCAGAGGCGGATTTGAGGGGGAGGGGTCGGACCGTCTTCTCCTTGAGGGATTCGACCCTCTGTTGACCCAAAGGGTCCCCGTCCCCTTTTTACTATTTTCAGGTATCCATTTTTGGCTGATGGATCTAAAATTTTTCGGAAGGAGCGTTCGGCGTGAATTATTAATAGCTTTGAGGGGGGAGCGCGCACTGAAAACACAAAGTGCCTAAAAACGCCTTTTTGGCCTGTTTTTTTTCCAAAATTTTGTCTGCAAATTTGGTCAAAACAAGGTCGTTTTAGTGCTTTGCGAGAGCTTGGAAATCAATGTGGTCGACCTTAAAAAAATGTTTGACGAAACCCTAGATCAGCCCCTGTAGACAACCGTTTTGCATCTTAGGCTGCCAAAAAAATTTTGAGGGGCAAAAATTGAAGTTTTGCGGTAAGAGATTATAATTTTATGTTCTTGGAGCTCCAATGCATATGACTTATTAATACATTTTTTTCACAACAAGCAGCACAGCGTGCCTTGTAATTTTTTAATTTTAATTAAGACCATAAATAGCTATAATCAATATTCTAAAAAATACTTTTTGCTTCTTTTTTATGTATACGTACTGAAATCCGTCTTCTGACGTGGCCACTCGCTTGTCGGCTGGTGTCTTGTTGAAGTAGGAGGCTATCCTCTCGTATAACACATTGCTGTCGCTCTGCTCACTGAAGGCCCAGTACACTGAAGAGTCGTAAACTGTTCCATAGTTCACTATACTCTAAAACAGACATGCAATTTATGTTTTCAGTTAAGCAGCCAGAGGCTAAATAAAATATTTAACTCATTGAATGACTCGCATTTTAGATAACTCAAGTCAATGAGCTGACTTTGAAATGCATAATAGCCTAGGAGTTCAAAACAGCAATAGTAGGCGTGCCGTGCATGCATCATAACCACTCTGCCACGACACGATTGGTTCATAAAAATTTTTTTGTGAAATTTTATCATAACTGGTTACCTAAAAACCGTACATTGGTCAGATGAAAATAGTTCATCAAATTATCATAAGCAAGTAAACCTGTAGACGACCACTTTCACTCGGCTAAAAATTTTCAGAAAATCTCAGTTTAAATTGTTCAAAATCTCAAACTTTTATGCAATCTTCCAAATTGAGCTTTAAGTTGTAATTTTTAAACTAATTTTTGTTGCAAAAAGTCAAACGCAGGAATACTTTTTTTTAGTAGTTTCAAGGAAAAATCAAAAGACGAGAACCAAAACAAACATCTCCCTCCTCCATCAAGAAAGCAATAAAATTGAAATCTTTGGTTAATTAGAAATTCTATTACTAATTTTTAAAATTCTTGTCTTAATAAAATCAAGCTATTAAGATATGCAACCAAATGCCACTACAACAAAAATTCTCACCTTGTGAATTTGAACACTTGAAGATCTTTTTTTGTAGCTTTATAGTCATATTTTGATGACGCCTCATTAAGTATGGATCTCTTCCTTTATTGACAAAAAAATTTTGCAATCAATTTTAGGCAGATAATTTGATGAAGTAAAGAATGAAAGCAATCGATTTGAATTGATTTGAAATCGATTCATTTTGATACAAAAACAAAACTTAGAGATTTATTTGAATATTAAGAATATTAAGACCATTTATCCACGGGGGAAAGGAGCAACGCAAGAGCTGTACAGCTCATCACGGCGAACCGCTGTCGTGCCCCTGTTTAAGAACTACATGCTATTTTTTTGGTTATTTTTCTGGGCTGGGTAATGTTGTTTCACCCTCAAGCAACGAGCACGGATCATGGTGAGCCTCGAACATCCGACCTTTCGATTCTACATCGATTTAAATAACTGTTTAGTAAATTGTTTGGTTTCAATTTCATACGGATTTTAGTAGCAATAAAATCAATTTATTTCAATTGAATTTGACTTTTTCTTCAATTTATACTTAATTCAAACTACTTTCAGTTTTTGTTTTAGTATATCAAACTATGAAGAACACTTGAACTAAAATTTTAATGTAGTTTTTCAATTGACGTTTTGATTTGATAATTGACCTGAAGTGAAAATATTGAATTGTATCAGTTATATGTCATATGCTAAGCGAAATTCAACGTAGAAAATTGATAAGGAAAGCAAAGTTTGAATAAAATGGTAAACTTTGATTTTCAATATCGCAGGAATTGTTAGACTTGCAAAATTTAAAGGGACTCACCTAAACTTACTAGTTTGCCTTAAAAAACCTTCTGGACTGACTTTTACCCTTTGTAGCTCTGGTGGAAATTTTCTTGAGAACAAATTTTTTCATGACTTGAGATACCAAACGAACAGTTAATTAGATTTTTTTTGCGAAATTAATGGATATCACTACTTAGCAAATACCTATTTAAATCGACCTAAATCAGTTTTTTTGGCAATAAAATCGACCAATTTTTTAGTAAAAATTTCCACTCAAATTTAGTTTAAATAAATTTACGCGACAAAATGAGCTAAAAAGTCAACTTTTACTTAGTATATTTTCTGTATAAAAATCGATTACATCTCTTAGCACTTGCTGGTCCTCAATTTAAACATCAAAGAAATAAGAAGAAGTGTTGGTATGGGACAAAGTATGGGACAAAACGGCATAGGACAAAATGTCATGTGGGACAAGTTGGCATAAGACAAGTTGCCATGTAGGGCAAGTTAGTATAGGACAAGTTGGCATAGGGCCAATTGACTTGGGACAAAAAGTCCTAACACCTAAATCAACAGGATTCGATTTCAACATCAAGCTTGTCAGAGCGGTTTCAGAATAACCCTAATATCTTGCTCTGTGAATAAACTTAGGGACACAAAATTTTGAAATAACTAAAGAACTAAAGTTTGAAGCTTTTTAACACAATAACAATTACCAGTTGCACTCCTAACCTGTAATATTTTGAATCGTACAACTAATTACCGCGCAAAAACTTAAAAACAACAAATTTTTATACATTATAAGATCTGTACGCATTGGACCGCCGCGTCACCGCATATTTATTTCCGATAGTATCATTGAACATTTTCACGGCCCACTACATAAACTCAATTCATGCCTCAGCTTTAATCATGCGACACGATATCAACGATTAAATATTAAAAAAACCCTGGCTAACTGAAAAAGTATCATCATGATTGGTTACCGTAGGCTCATCAGACTGGGCTCTTTTCAGATTCCCCTGTAAAAAAAAAGTTATCAGTTAAAAAAATTGTCTATAAACGGAGAAAAACAAAATATGACAGAGTGGCAAAAGAATTGAAACCTTTTACCTGTCGAAATACTTAATGACTTCACTTTTCTTCGTGATATTTACGAAGTCAATGTCAGTGAAAAACAAAACTGATATCCACAGTTCAAAGCGAAAATTGTACCGAGCTGCAACAACAAGTTTAGGGAATCCAAGCACCATCTGGTACTAAAATATTATAGTCTACTTTCAAACGTCTCTTGCTGTCCAAAAAACAGCCAAAAAATATTCGAAAAATCTAAACAATTGTAAATCTCCCGTGTGTGTCGTCTGATGGTTACTCTACTCTTTCTATTTGGCTAGCCAAAAAGATAATATTTTTTACAGACGAAAATCCAGCTTTGTTTATTTGTTGTTCCGACTTTCGATACGAAAGTAACGGAATATTTGTGCTCGGGATGGGTTTTTTTTCAGACAAATTTCGATTTTTTAACTAGCCATTTTTGACGTAATTTTTTTAATATCATTCAAACGGTATTGTTGTCCTGAGGTTAAAGTTGAAAAGATATTCCACTTGTAATCATTTTTTTTAAAAGTTATGAGGGTTTAAAAATTACCATTTTGGCCATTTTGACCAATTTGGGACAATTAACGCACGATATAATTCGCGCTATTGACGAGTAAGTGGATATTTAATCCGCCTTAGAAATTGTTTCAAATTGGTTGAACAAAGATTATTTGCCATAATTGATTATACATCCACTTGTACTTTATATGGCGTGTGGGGGGATGATTTTCGTTAAAAAAATTTCAAATTTTAGAAAAAAAATATTAATTTTATTTTATTTCTTTTAATTCTGATATGTTATTACTGCTCCATAAACATGAAAAGGCAGTCGGAACATTCAAGGCGTCGCCTTGATACGATACCAGCAGTCTTGTTTTGATTTTCTTGGTAATTTAAAGAGAAAGGGGCTGGAGGTGACAAAATTTTGGAATCAGTCATTTGTATTTTCCATTTAAAACGGGCATGTAACGTTTTTTGAAAACTTTCTGAAGCATTTTTCTGAATTAGGTTGCCCTAAATTGATGTCATTGAAACCTTTGACTCGATCACGCACGGAATTATAGATCATTGCAATTCTTCAAAACTGGTTATGGATCATCAAATTTTTGACGGTGCTACAATGTTGAGCTATCGTTATTTATACTTTATAAAATTTAAATCATAAAACACATGTGTGAAGCATGTTTCGGAGCCATATCTGAAACGTGAGTGCACCATTTGAATTAGTAAAGCAAAATTTGGAAATTAGAGCAAAAGTATTCAAAACTGCTCGTACAGGGCGAAGCCCTGATTGTCCCGACTGCCTTTTAAGGTTTATGGAGCAGTAATTACATAAATATCATTAACAAATTAAATGTAATAAAAAAATTTAATTAAAATTTTTTTTTCTAATCCCACATGCCATATAAACTACAAAAGAATAGATTTTGCTCCTTGTAACAAATCAATAATGGCAAATAAGCTTCTTTCAACTAATTTAGAACGACTTCTAAGACGGATTAAATCTCCGCTTACACGTTAATAGCGCGAAATATATCATGCATGCGTTGATTGTCCCAAATTGGCCAAAATGGAAATCTTCAAACCCCCATAACTTTACAAAAAACGATCACAGGTGAAATATGGTTTCAAAATTAAGCGCAAGACAACAATACCTTTTGAAAAATTTTTAAAAAGTTCCGTCAAAAATGGCTAGTTAAAAAGTCGAAATTTTTCTGAAGAAGAAAAACCCACCCCGAGCACAAATATTCCGTTAATTTCGTATCGAAAGTCGGAACAAAAAACAATATTTATATTTTGCATAGCAAAGAAAGTTTTTTGCTTGACAAATCGAGACACAAAGTATCGATATCTGAACAAAATTTAGCATGCAATATAAGCTCTTGTTTGTGTTTCGTATAAAACGATGTGAAAAACACGCTCCAAATGTTTTCTCACCAACACGTAGATATTTCCTTTTTATTGCCACTGTTCAAATAAAATACGGAAACATATTGCTTACTACTGTTTTGTTTTTGAAAAACATCACCTTTAGTTTTGGTCTTAAGATCTGAAAAAGTTCTAAGCTTTATGGGTATTTTTATATATTCACAAACAGTAGCGTGACGAGAGGGAACAGGGAAGGAACACGGAGCGACCACTCTTTTCCTCAATCTGTTTGCTTGCCAAAATTTCGAGTGTTACAACAAATATTTCCATTTAGTTAATTAACGCTATAACTTTTGTTAACACACATTTCAAGAGGTGTATATAATCAATTGGACGGCAAAGAGGGGACCAAAAAAAAACTTTTTTTTGTAAAAAATTTAAAACATTTTGGATATGTTTTTCCGTTTTTCCTCAAAAATTTCAACTAGAGCGCAAAATTATTTATAATAACAGGCGGTTTTGATAAGGTTTTTTAAAAAATCAGATAAATAATTTCGTATATTTTCAAAATCAGTTTGAAACAAAAATTTTGTTTTCCAAAAGATCTTTTCTTTGAAA